AAAAAAAATTATGTATTTACTCTGGTGGGGTCTCACAAACCCCAATATGTCACAAGATGTTTATATCTTAAAAACTATTCAGCCAAAATATATAAAATTTGGAATATAGATTCTAAGATATATTTGATGAAGCTACTGAAGATTTCAGATAATAATAAACCGTTTTTATATAATGTCAATTCTAGCAAGCCTGGGGGCTCATATACCCCACCGGAGTATTGAAGGGTTTCACCTGGCTGAGCCTTTTAAATCCTCGCTAGGCCGGGCCTGAGTCATTGCCAACCACTGATTCACATATATGTTCTAATTATTTGTTCTTATTGAAGGTCAATTATATAATCATTATATTATATAAAAATATAAAAAAAATTGTTGAAATAATTGTAATAAACTCTCATCAAATTAAAGATAACTTTCTGATTTACATCTCATAAAATGGGTTAATTTCTGATTCATCCATTATCAAATAATAAAGGCGAAATTTTTGATTACCCATCATCAAATAAAGGAGAAATTTATTATTCTCCATCATTCTTGACAGGTTATCTGCTTGTTTAAATATAACTCTTTTCATTAACACAAAGATGATAGATATTAGGGCTGTCAGATGCTTCAAATAAGTTGAGAATCCAGTCTTTATTTTTTAATGTCCATACAAGACAATAAAAATCAGGGATGTGAACCCTTCGACAAAAAAAAAGAGTCCGGGTTCGGGTCCGGTAATAAATTTAAAAAGGTCCAGGGTTCGGGTCCGGGTTTAGAGGAAACATAAAAATAATGACTCAAAATAAGACTTTTTTTCATTCATTTTTTATTTTACTTCAATATATACACATTTATAATTCGAAATGAGATAATTTATATTTTAAATATTTTATTCAATCGCACAATCATGATAACTTCTAAAATATTATCCTTCAATTTTCCACGTAAATTAGTCAACGATGAAAATCCACGTTCTACGCTTACCTAAAATAGATAGTCATTTTTATAATATAAATTATTGTACTTGTGTCGCCGGTACAGCCATGACGATTCTAGAAAAGGTATATAATTCTGGATATATTGAAGAATTTTCCTCCCAGAATTTTAAAATGTTTGCATCTCTATTTATTCTCGTAACTTCCGAGAACTTTTCTATTAAAGATACAATAGATATTTTTTGCTCCTTTCTATCAGATGATAATTTAATTTTTTTTTCTCTATCTAATAGTAAAATTTCCAGATCATCAATATCGTTATCATTATCATTGTTATCGCTACAACCAGTAGATATTGTTGTAACCACCAATATATTGTAAATAATAGAGTTTTGGGTATGCCATAAATCTTCAAGATGGGCTATAGCCATTTGTTTTTGCTCACTACTTAATAAAACCTGATATCGCGGGTCTAAATATATAGAAGCATATACAACACTATTTTGCTCTCTTATTTTCGTATTTTCTAATACTTCATTTGAAAAAGAACTTGTTAATCTCCCTAACTCTAATCGACATCTTAACCATATGCCATAAAAATCCGATAAACATAATTGTTCTGCTTGCACTCTTAATGTTGTTATTTTTTAAAGGAACCAGCACACTAGTAAGCTCTTTTACTTGATTCCAATCATCTTCTGACAAAATGATTATGATTTCACATGCTCCTATGCTAAAATCATTACAGAAATCTTTCAAACTTAATAATCGCTCTAGCATCATACATATAGAGGACCAACGTGTTGTGCAATCTAAAATTGCCATTTACCTTTTCATGGATTTTAATATTCAAACAATTGTGGGAGTTTGCTTTATCAATTATAGTTTTAAAGTGACTATTTTTTAGGGAGATTCCACGAAAAAAATTAATAAAATTATAAAATTTTTATATTATTTTTTAAAAATTATATTTTTACATTAATTTAAAAAAAAAAATTTAAGTTAAAAATTTTTAGCACCCTGAACCCTTGGACCCTCCACTTTTTAAAAGGGTTCGGGTCCTGGTTCAGTCAAAATATGAGGGTCCGGGTTCACATCCCTGGTAATATGCTTTGCTTTAATTTCTAAGATAACAAAATAAATGAAAATTATTATAAATCTGATTTTTTTCTGCTAAAACTATATCATTAACTACTCATATTAGCTGAACATCAGAACTTGCATAGTCATGTGTTTTCAGACAATACATTAATAATATAAATATGAATAGGTATATATATAATTTATTGAGTTTTTAAAGAATTTTTTTTGAGATATTATAATTTATATCAAAAGATTTACAATTATCTTCTAAATAATTTATGCTTAGTTGGTACATACATTTGCTGGAACCTTCAGAAAATGATATCAAAAAAATATCTTTGTAATGTGATAGCCCTTTATATGTTAGTGATGGAGAGTAAAGTTATATTTAGTAAGAATAAAGCATTATTGTTAGTGTTGTTAAACCATCTAACTTTGGCCAGCTCTAAAATAGCTTGGTCAAGTTTTTAGTCTAAAAAAATAGTCTCTATCATTGAGTTGAGCCTAAACTTAGACGTTTAAGTCAATTGTTTAGGAGATAATCTTGACCACGCCATATTGGAGTTGAAGTTAGGTGATTTAACATCACTAATTATTGTATTAAAATAAAATATTATATATATTTACTAAACTATGCAGATCTTAGTAATAGATATAAAATCATAAAGTGTTTATTCAATGTGCAGTTAAATGATTGAAATAAGTATGTTAAATAAATATTCTCTATCCACCTTTCCAAATCGCTTAACAAAATAAATACAATACAGGGAAAAATTTATCTGGCTGGCCTGCGAATTTTGCTATTTGTAGACCTCTGATATGCATTACCCTTATAAATATGGAAAATATACATTTTATAACTTTATGTTACATTTTTATGGAAAGTATAAAATTAGATAAAATGCCAAAATTCAATATAAAATGTTGGACCAAATTTTTAAAAAAAGGGAAAAAATATTCTCCTATATAGCATTCCCATCATTATATTTTTTATCCTGAACAACTATTTATTTTTTATATAATACTTAACTTATGGATTTATCAATAAATAATAATTAAATAAATAGAAGCTTTTTTGAAATGAAGTTGGAGGCAAATGAGTTTTTAAACTATTTTCCTTGATTACAATTATAGATACAAATGGAGGTTTTATATTATTCAATTTGATCCTTTCTTACTGGGATTAGGATAGGATTCTTTGGTAATAGATAACATATAGTAAATTATTATGATGTGTCACAATAAATTTGGGTAAAAATTTACCTTTAAAAATTAGAAATTTAAATTTTCAGATAAAATGAATTTTTTTAAAAATATATTTGATGAATAACGCCATGATATCTTCTTTTATCACTCCTATAGATAACCTTTTAAATTCGGCCTTGACAGCTTGGGTATCTTTAGCTCCACCTGAAGCTACTTTACCCACAATTTTAACACACCAATCAATTTTCGAACCTTTAATTAAAAATTTTTTTTAAATAATTTCATCAAACCCCTCTTTGGAGTATTCAACTATTACAAATTGCTGACTGCACTAATGGTTATGAATGGTTGGGCATTACCAAGCCGTAACCTAGGTAACCTCTTATCAGATGAACAATTAAGAGTTACCATAGGCCATCGAATGTAACATAGTTCAACCGCATACATGCATCAAATGTAAAATATTAGTTGACTCCAAAGAAAGGGAGACATGGTCTAAATTGTATATATAGTCAAGGCAGACATGCAAGGCATGCAGCAATTAATTTAGCTATTAGCCGTTCTCTTACCAGGGCTCGAATACCAAACATCCTGGAGCCTACTAATTTATCATAAGATGGCCTAAGACCATATGGCTTAACTTCCGTGCCTTGATCTTTAGGAAAATCCTTAATTTGGGACTTCACATGCGTATCTTCTTTTCTAAAAAATTTAAATTCTTATCCGGTTGATATAGCAGAGAAAAAAAAACAATTAAATATTCAAAATTAACAAATTATATTTTTATACCAATCGTTATCTCTTCCCTTGGACATATGTCAAGCGGAACTTTAAAATTTTTTAAAAATATAGGCGACAAGATAAGAGCCCTTACATCAGAACCTAAAGAATATTAAAAACAAAATCTACAAATTACTATTTTAAAATATAATTTTTTATGTTTTTTGGGAACTTGTAGTCCCACCTCCGTTTTTATAGAATAAGGTTTTATTTTATTTTATATTTGATATGTTAATTTTCATATAATTTTATTTAAAATTATTAGTAAATTTCTTACCTAAAAATATTTGATATTGTGATCATGAAATTTTTAAACTTTTAAGGGTCAATGAGAAAATAATTGTAATTAAGCGTGTGTTTTTGAAGCGGGGGACCCCGGGTTCGATACTGATAGATGGCAAAAAATTAACATAAGGCTATATAGTCTCATCAAATTTTAATACTTTAAGATGATAGGAAAACGATCATGTTTTGATTATGGAGACTATATATATTAGATATAGATGGATACTATATCTATGTAGTGGTTAGTGAGTTTTATCTTTTAAAATACTAACTTTCCTTAAAAAATTTTCTGTTTTATTGGAAATATGTAGGAAATTTAAAAGACTTATTTTTAAACCAGAGTTTGAAGGCTAGTGAGTTTTATCTTTTAAAATACGAACTTTCCTTAGATTCTTTTGTGTTTTAGAAATATACTGGAAATTTAATAGATTTATTTTTAGTATTTTTCGAGCAATTTTAAACCAGAGTTTGAAATAAAATCTTTTAATTTAAAGAAGAAAGATTTTTGATCAAATTTTACATTAAAAAAATCTTTTATTAATAAATATTTTATAACTTCTATGCAAAGTTTTTCAAGATGAAATAACAATTTTATTTTCAAATCCTGATTTAAATCAAGATGGGCAGCATCTTCGGATCTACTTGAGTTAGAGCCTTATTCAAGTGAAAAGAGTAGAAATATAATTCTTTCTATTACAATTTAATTATATAAAAATATTTACTTAGGCAGTGTTTTATAACACATTGGTGACGGAAAAGAACGAAGATGGCCTCATGCTTGTGATTTGCGATAAACCATACGAACAAATCGTCAAATTCAAGAGTGAATTCTCTGACAGCTTCAATAAAATTATCGGTAACAAACCCAATGTCACAGTGGATTTGATCAATATTCGTGAAATTGGCAATAAAAAGTTTATTCTCGATATTTTTCCCACCATAAAGAAACCACCGAATCTTAACTGGCGATATAATTTTTTACAACTCATATTTTATATTTAAATTATTTTTTATGCTTGTCTTATTTTATTTATTTAAAAGAATTTTTTAAAAATCATTTTAATATAAATCAAAGTTTGAAATGCAAATTTTTTGGTAGATTTTTTGAGAATTCTTAAATAAATTTTTTAATTGAATATTTTATAGAATTCAAAATCTTTTATATGATTTTTATGCATAAAAATTTTTCTTGATGAAATCACAAATTAAAAAAAATATTTACATACGTAAATTTAAAGCCTTGCCCTATAATGTTGTGGATACAACAGAGCTAAGCTAGATATTTCTCAGCTCCATCTAACTGAATGTTAATAAAAAATTAGGAAAAGAAATATAGGGAGCCCTCTACAGGTTTGTGGGCAAGGCGCATGATAGTTCATAGTATTATTTGAACGCCTGTAGACTAGTTTAAAGGGACGTTGGACCAAGCTAAAGCATACGTCCATAAACTATGGTTTAATTGAATTAATTTACGGAAAGGGTGGGGGGTGGCTAATTTTAAATTATAATATTACAAAATTGAAAATAATATCTCTACGTTTGAATGTTGAAGCCTCGAATATCCAAACGTTTAATTGAGAAAGTACATACTGTAGGATAAATCGTAACTGTCGATAGGCTTGGAGTTATTCCGATTTCACTTTAAATATTTTTTTAATTGACCTTTTACTGTTGTTGAGACTTGAACTTTTTATTTGTATGTTTCAATTGAAAAAATATAGTCATGTATCGAATCGTGAGCTAAATTTTGGTTGAATTTCTTATGTGAGTTAGAAGTTGAATCCATTTTTTCTTTAGAGGCACTTGGCTTGAATATTTTCCGTGATTTATCATTCAAGACCTCGGGTAAAAGATGCCGTTGATTATTTTTGAGTTAATATCGACTCCGGACAAAATGTTGAGGAGATTAAATATTTCGCTGAGATTTTTCATTATGATTACATATCATCCGCATAAGAGATTATCCTATGATCAAGATAACATCATCCTAGCTCCATTAAATTTGCCGCTCCCAGGGTATTCTTTATCTTCTTGTTCATTACGATATTGAACAGTAACGGGAAGGGTGTACACCCTTGTTTTACTCCTCTTTTAATCTTAAATGAGGGAGACATTTTAATGTTAATTTGAAAGTTTTCAAACACATTTCCATAATGGTGCTTTAGTATCCCTTCATTTCTATACCAAATTCTTCCAAAATTCCCCACAAGGCGGTATGTGTTATATAATCGAACGCCCTCTTGAAATTCACATATGTGAAGAAGAAATGTTACTTATACTTATCACGGCTCTGAAATATTTTATAAAATTAAACTTAAGATGTTAGCCTTTTCCCTTCGAACGTTTTCGCGACAAAAATGTTATTTTTTGAACCGGAAACGTAAAAAAATACATCTAAGCATAATTGGATAGGAAATTTAATTCTGAGTAGAATGATATAAAAATATTCAAAATTGCATATAAGATGTTAGCCTTTTCCCTTCCAACGTTTTTACCACAAAAAAATTTTTAAAATTTATTTTTTGAACCGATAACGTAAAAAATTACATCAAAGCATATTTAGATAGGAAATTTAATTCTGAGTTCAATGATATAAAAATTTATAAAATTAAACTTAAGATGTTAGCCTTTTCCCTTCGAACGTTTTCGCGACAAAAATGTTATTTTTTGAACCGGAAACGTAAAAAAATACATCTAAGCATAATTGGATAGGAAATTTAATTCTGAGTAGAATGATATAAAAATATTCAAAATTGCATATAAGATGTTAGCCTTTTCCCTTCCAACGTTTTTACCACAAAAAAATTTTTAAAATTTATTTTTTGAACCAATAACGTGAAAAAATACATCAAAGCATATTTAGATAGGAAATTTAATTCTGATTATAATGATATAAAAATATTCAAAATTGCATATAAGATGTTAGCCTTTTCCCTAATCCAGTACTCACAATATCGTTATACTTACTATCAATTTAGTTTTGAAAAAAAACTTAAATAGAATATACATATAATTTTTTTAAAATAACCAAATAATTTAATTAAAAATATAAATTAAAAATTAATGAAATTAAATAAGATTATAATCGCAATTTATTTCAAAGAATTAATAAAAAAATTGAAATATTATAATCCATTTTTTTAAAATAACCAAATATAATTTAATTAAAAATAAAAATTTAATAAAAATAAAAATAAAAATAAAACCGCAATTTATTTCAAAGAATTAATAAAAAAATTGAAAAGATCTTAAAATTTCCATTTTTTAAATATATTATATTCCATTTTTTTTAAATAAATAAATATAATTTAATTAAAAATATAAATTAAAAATTAAATAAAATTAAAACCGTAATTTATTTCAAAGAATTAATAAAAAAATTGAAAAGATCTTAAAATTTCCATTTTTTTAATATATTATAATGCAATGTTATTATAATATTTTTCTCGTAAAAAAAGCAATAAATCAATCAAATTACACATTAATCATTTTCTTTGTTATTTTTATTTTCAATATTATTTTTTAGCCTTTCGTATCATGAGCCTTTCGACTTTTAGACCTTGCGGTTTATGTGTGATATGCAATAAATTAAAAATAGTCGCAGTGAAGAATAATTTAAATATACTATGTACCTAGAATGGAAACATTCCAAATATGTTCATTATTATCATTACTTTACATACCCTTATTGTGTAGATTACTCCCCGAAAACTTATAATTTTACTTAGGAAATCATATCTCCTACAGTAATAGGTAGAGACTTAGATGAGAGATCGGGCTACACATTAATATATAATTTGCTCTATCAAGCCTTTTATATAAATTTTATACTAAAAATGCAAAATACCAATCGTTTAATTCCTATCTTCCATAATTCGTTTTCTAACAAGATAAATAATTTACCATTCGTTTTTATTCGATCGTTTTAATTAGTCTAATACTCATTCATTTGATTCTTTAATCTTTATATAGCCCCCCCCCCCCACCAAATGCTATTTCACCGCCTTTCACGATCATTGGGAGGTATATAATGATGGGAAATTATATATAGATATTAATGTGATGGGCGGTTGGGTCGGACGAAGGACAAATTTTTTGTAAAATTTTAACTGGCCAGGAATTTCTTGAAAAATTATAACTGGCCGGGCAAAAAATTTAACAGACCCGGTAAATAATTTAACGGGCTAGGTTTGCAGATCTCTAATCGAAAAATATTTCTAACCGCCAATTTCAATTTAGAAAAATATATTGTTATTGACGATGCAATTAAATTTATAATTTTTAAATTTTTTTTTTGCTAAAGCTATAAAAATTTGTGAAAAAATACAGGTGTTGCGTTACTTTGATAGTCAATGAAAATTTGAGTCAAGGCGGCGTTAGGAAAGCGACATGCCAAGAACTCGTTTCCTATTTCAATCTAAGCCAAACTAATTCCAACTTAGGCTCACAAAATGGTGTTAAGAGTCAATTAGCCGCCCTAGATATCGATAATATCATTCCGAAGATTGGCCCGACCCCCCAGCAGATTCAGGTTCACCTCGATAATCCTCCTTCAAGTAAAAATTAATATTATAAAAGAGATTTTCTTTGGATTAAATTGTTAGTATATTGCCCCATCTAAGGACAAAATTGGATTAGAATATTAATTGGGATTTAGTAATCTCCTTCATCTTATCTGATACACAGAGATCAGAATTTTGTGATTTTAGGTTTTGTTAAAAATAAAAAATTATTTATTACCCAAAATTAGGCTAGTACAATATTTACTAATTTATACATTTTAACCATATAAACAGTTGGCGATATTTAAATCATTTACATAAACAGTTTGCGATCTTTCTAAACAACTTTATTATACAATATTCAAATTTACACGAATTCAGTTCTGAAATATTTTTCCAAGGTTATGCGAAATATTTAACTCGCTGGCATATGCCGAAACCAGTTATTATCTTCGGTTTTAAATTTGTGCGAGATTCAGGTTGTCTCTCCATCTCTGGAGCAATATTTTAAATAATATCTTAAACTGTAGGAGTTCTTACCGCTTCATCGGTATTTTTTATAATGTTCACCTCCTCTCCCTTGCCACCATTTCCTTCACATATAAAATATTATAGATATAGATCCCAAGATATGGGCAAAAGCCATACAGGAAAATCCGGATCCGGCTCATCTGATTCCTATCCCTGTTTTGGGGTTCAATGGACTTTACACTCGATTAAGTGCTATAGTGCAAGAAAATGATTTCCAAAAACTCCAATTAAATGTATAAATGATTTAATATTGAAATCTCAAATTTAACCAAGATTCGCCTAAGTTTTCTCCTAAGGAATTATCAATGTTTTATTAACAATACTAATTATTTTTATTAATTTAATTTAAAATTTTTTTTTAGAATCTTAACTTGAGTTTATCGCAACAACACGGTCGACTTTTGAACATCGCAAACAAAATTAAATCCATGACCCGTAAATACAAAGAACTTAAACATCGCTTTTTGCAAGTTCGCTATTTCGGAATTTTATAAAAAATAAATAACATATATTATCCTAATATTGTTTTATAATTTCATCTGATTATATTCTGAACATAAATCAAGGTAAAATGTGTGCAAGACTCGAAACGATTATATAACATACCAATTCAAATATTTGAGGTTCAATTGCGCGCCAAATTGGAAAGTTTATACAATGAATTGAATTCCAACGATCAGATACAGGTAAGTTTGATATATTGCAAATAGAGGATCGGGGGAAAATATTTTCAGGCCGGTAGGTAATTTTTACAAAATAAATTATAGGTCAGACATATTGTCAATATATTTTTATGGGTTGAGCTGGTTCTGAATTTACAATTTTTTTTAAAAAACAGAAAAATGCAAATTTCTGACTATATTTTCCATCGTGCTAATTTGATCTAATTATTCATCAATCTCAGGGTTTATGGAAGGTAATTAATGCTCAAAAGCAAATCCTTGAAATTGGTTCTCATAAATCATTGCATAAACCTATGGATGGCTTTTCCAAAGAGGACAATGGTGTGAAACGGGAGTTTGAGTCTAAATTTTTGAAGGAATTTAACACGGTTCAAATTATTTAATAAATAATAATTTTTTACACCATTTAATAAAACTTTATGTATATAGTTTATAACAAATCAACAAGAATCTTTGAATTATCTAGCTCACATTCTTAAAGAGGACAGCAGAGATTTGGCTTTCATGAAAAAAATTTTGATTGAAACAAATCAAGTCTAATTTGTTATATCAATTCTAATACATTTATTTGTATAGTAAAAGTTATAAATTAGTTGTATTGATTGTTAAATATATGTATATATTGGAAATGGAAAGTAATTTGTTATATTTTTATAAAAATGTTATTAAAACAATTTTTTTTATATTTCTTATGATTTAGATACATCCCTCCACTATCTGAATTTCAAATTTTGGAAATTAAAAATATTTCAGAATTTAGTAAGATATTTTTTAACTCGAATACTACGTTTGAATATAAACATACTTATGATCTAGTTATTTAATTAAAATAATTTTACGAAAATATAAAAAGTAAAAATTATTTAGAGATTAGCTTTATTTTCCTTTAAGTGTTAACAATAAATAAGCACATTCAATTTAATATTTAGCCATTTCTTCTAATTCATTTTCAATCTCTCTGTACATCTAACAGGCAATTTAGATCTCAAAAAAGTAGAAATATTTATGAGCTCCGACTCGCTAGCCAGATTCTCTTTCTTTAGAATTAATAGTTCTAAATTATGTTTTTTTACAATAACTTTGATAATTCAATGTTTATTTTTTTTTCTATTTATTACAAAATATGTTGAGATGAATATGATACTTATATTTAGTGCTGTAAACGTCTACAAAAAAGAAACGCGTTACCGTTACTCGTTACCTTTTTTAAAAAGGAACGTGCTTTACCGAATTTTCAAAAGTAACGGACTACTCGTTACTTAAAAAAATTAAATATATACAAAAATAATATTTATTTTTTTCCGATAATATATAATAAAATAAAACTATACAAAAAGAATATATAAGATCGTTTTATAAAAAAAATTTTCTTATATATAATTATAAGATAACATCTTTATTTATCAATTTTTTATTTATTTTTAGCAACAATTGATTTCAAAATTTTGATTTATTGCTCAACACAGCTGGTTAAATAATGGGATGTTATATATAGTATTTTAATAATAAATAAAATCTATAATGAGATTCTCTGTAAAATTTTATTATTGGATAAATCTTGGCTACACCACTATTCCATATATATATTAATTAAATAAAGTTTTTAAATTATTCTTTAAATTTATTAACAATTATAGTCAAACCAATAGCAATACTTAAACAAGATAGAAGATATAAAATACTAAATATAATACTTTGAACAAATACCAATATTTTGTTAATCTTGGGTTTTTAATGTTGGTTCCCTGCCCAATACTGTAGTATAATTTAATTGCTTATATTTAGGGCTGTGCCGATCCACATATTTTTCACCGATCCCATCTGATATTGCTTCAAAACCGATTCGATATTTATATTGATTTTTCACCACCCCCCTTTGAATCAAATGTAATTAAGAAATATATTTTTTATGCAAAATATCAAATTATGCATTTAATTTAATTTTTTTAATTAAAACTATAATTAAAAAACATGCATTTGATAATATATCCATATTATGTTGATATGAATTATAAAATTGTATTTAATATATAAAATTATATTAGATATTTTTTAATAAATACAAGAGCCTCTAAATTTTCTGGCAATAAGCTTCTACGATATGGAGTATCTATATCCCCTGCCGTACTGAAGGTAAACTCAGATTTCCGTAGATAACGCATTTTGCAAAATTATCTTTGTCTTGTAAAATATTTCCATAATTCAGATTAGTGATCTGCATCGGGCCTAATTTTTCAAGCCCTACCCAAAATTTTTTTTAGAAAAGTTTTGCCGGCCCTGCCCGAACCCGAAATTTTTTTAAAAAGTTTTGCCGACCCGAACCCGAAATTTTTTTAAAAAAATTTACCGACCCAGCCGAGCCCGAATTTATTTAAATATAGAAATTAATCTTTATAATTACTCAAAATAAAAGACATATGTTATATGTCGTTTAGTTCAATATATAAAATCAAATATTTTTATTTTACATCAAAAATTCAATATAAAATTGATAAATTTAGATATATTTAAAAAAATTCCAAAGTCCGACCTGACCCGGCCGATTTTTTTAAAAAAATATTAGGCTTGGTCCGAACCCAATTATTTTAAATTGAACTAGCTCGAGCCCGCAGATCTCTAATTCAGATACCATATTTAAAAAAATTCTTTTATTTAAATTAAAAATAATAAAATTGGCTTTATTATTTAAAAAGATTTAAAATAATTAAAACTTTGGGTGTTCCTTTCTATTTTTATAAAGATATCTTTAAAAATATTATTAATCTATTTTAAAAAATAAAATTTAGAGGTGTTGTGCATTTGCATTGTTTAAAAAAAAATTATTTAGAAAATATTATAATGTAAAATAAATACATAACATAAATAACAAAAAAAAGAAAAGTAAAAAGACCGGATCGGTTTTTACAGGTATGGGCCCGATCTGATGTTTTTGGAAAACGTTAAATATTGGAGCCGATTCTATCCGATATTTAATATTAACACAGCCCTTATATTTTAATTCCATGATTAAGCTTTTCAAATTATCATGAAAGAATATTCTATTATTAAAGTATAATTTTATCTTTTTACCTTGAAATGCTTTTTTAAGTTTGAACTGCTGGACATTGTGGTTGAAATATTTGTGTTGGGATATAATTTACATTTACAAAGTGTAGACTTCCATTTATATTGGTTTAAAATATATTTCAAATTGTGACCAGAGAAGGGTTAAATCATCTGAAGAAGTACTAATGACATAATATTCTTAAACTAAATTATAAGAAAAATAATATTATTATTAACATTTACTTTGAATTTGTGAATATTAATTTCGACAGAAATATAACAACGAGAATTTAAAATAAAAATGAAAGAAGTGGTTGATATGAATTAAAACTCGGCTTAAATTATTTATATTAGAAATTAAAAAATAATTTGATACAATAAAATATGTTTTGCTTTTTGTTGATATTTTTTAAGAAAAAATATAAAGTAACGTTTTGCGTTACTCGTTACCTCTAGAAGAAGGTAACGAATGACGTTACTTTTTTTACGTTACTTCACAGCACTACTTATATTAAATAAAATAAAACTTGTTTAAACCAATTTCCAATTGTAAAAAGAATATAAAATCGACTATCTCAGGATTAATATGCTTTCATCTTAATTGCGGCTTGCAGTTGAAAAAAATCTAATTACCCACTGGGCTAATCTGAGTCTAGTTTCCAATTGAAAATTGACTCGAGCCAACTTATGTTTGAGATAGTTGGCTCGTTAGCTTTCCTAGTTTTGTCGTCCTCAAATTAAGCTAGTATTTTTACTATAATTATTAATTTACCCATCAATTGATTATTTTATCCGACTCCGGCACATTCGATTTAGCTCAATTTGACTTAACCAGACCCAATTTGACTAATGCGGTCGAATTGGACCTAATACGATGGCTGTATTTACTTTTAGATTTTTAAAACTTACGTACATTTATCTAGATAATTTTATTAAAAGTATATTCCTTTTGGCTTAAGTCGGAGTAATTTTTCTACTAGATATTTGTTTTGAGTCGGGATAAGTCTACTCCACTTAACTGTTTAAATTAACAATCATTCTTTCTTTCTCCTTGATTGAATATTAAGGGGGGGGGGGTATTAGATTCTTTATTTAAGTTTTCTATCATAAATGCAATTTAATATTATTTTCTTATTCCTTTTGATCGCTTTTATTACGATTTATTGTATGAGAAAAACGTCAGACTACAGATACTTTTATTTTTAGGAATTGACTTCATTTGTGATTTTTTTTTGAGATTATGCTAACCTTAAATAATACTTTCTTTTTGACAGATGTTTATCCCAAGGCTATGAACCCTCGTTCTAAAAAAAAGGGCTTAGCAGTGGTTCAGGAAACGGAGTTCAGAAAAATAAGGACTTATAAAAATTTAGTAAAAATAAACAGAAACACGATTGTTTTTAAAATTTATTTTAGTATTCATAAAATAGTTTATTATAACTAGCAAAGTTGGTATCTAGATCATCTAGATATTGTATATAAATCAGAGGGCAGGGCCTGAAATTTTTTTTTAAAAATACCCGGGCAGGGCCGGGCCGTATTTTTTTTAAAAATTTAAACAACATGAATTATTATATTCGTCAATTAGATATGGTTATAATGATTATATATAGTTATGATTAATATAATGTTTGGTGAAAGTTAACACTCATAGTATCTATTACATAATAAAATTATAGTTTTCCTGCCATGGAATAAATACCCAAAGGATTAAATACATTATTATATAATATATATGTTATATTTTTTATTAAAAATATCATTTTTATTTTTTTTTACTAAATATCTGTTTAGAATAAAAAAAAAAAATTTATTGTTGTTAAACGGCTCGTTTTGAGCCGATTTTTAAAATCAGCTAACTAAGTTTTTTATCCAGAAAAATATTATGCAAGCCTGAAAATTTTGCTCATAGAAGGAGCAATGGTTTAGACATATAGTATCGAAATTTCGAGGCTTAGTCAATATTTTTCTGGCGAAAATATTGAGTTAGCCGTTTTTAAAAATCGGCTCAAAACGAGCCGCTTAACAACATTAGCTAATATACTTGCTTATTAAATGATAATACTCGCCGAAAAATATGATAAAATACCAAATAATTAATTTTTTGAATGTACCAGGTCGAATATAATTTTTAAAAATTCCGAGCCGGGCCTAGAAAATTTTTTTTTAAATCTAGGCCGGGCCGGGCCCCAAAAAATTTTTTTTTAAATATTCGGGCCGGGCCCCGGGCCGGGCCGTAAAAAATTTTTGGAAAATAAATCCGGGCCGGGCCGAAAATTTTTTAATCTGGGCCGGCCGTACAAATGGTACCTCTGCAGGTCTCTGATATAAATATAAAAATGTGGTATCTGTGTCTAGATAGGATTTTTTAAGTATCTGTGTCTAGATATTATTTTAGAGGTATCTGTATCTGTTTTTAGATACTTTCAAAATATTTGATATGTTTTTATTTAACGCTTTTTTATATTATAAAAAAAATACTTGAATGCAAAATTTATTTTATTTAATATGAGCGTATAATTTAAATATATATATGTTAAAAAAATATTAAGACTACTATAATAAAAAATTATATTATATAT